CTTTCATAAGCTTTGATAGTTCTGGAGGCAGTGTGGAAACAGCTGTGACCCAGGGCTGGTCTCCACATCCTGTCTGTTCCTCTGCTTGGTTTTGATGTGTGTTAAAGCTGAGAAGGTCACCTCACACAAATAAGTAGAACCAAACGGCAAAAGTTCAATCAGTGCATGTTTTCCCAGTTCAGGATATTCCTTCTCCATCACACCAAAACTCAGTCAATGACTTCTCAGCATATGCCATCTTCAGACCACCGTGGTCAGATGATAATTCCATCAGAGGCTCCTGCAGCATTGCTGGAAGGCTGTTGCTGCTCTCACTCACAATGAATGGGTTCCTCACCCAATCCAGTCTTTCTGACTTATTTTCAATGTCCTGAAAATAATGGCTGAAATCAGTGCAGAGCTTGGACATGTGTGCTTGCACCAGTTTGACCACTGGACCCCTGGCAACAGCAGTGGTGGCAAGATGGGCATTGAGTAGTGGGAAACAGCTCACGTCTCCCTCATCACATTTACTCTCCCATAGTTTGAGCTTTTTGTGAATCCTTGAACTTTGTCATACCATTTCAGGATATGTGACTCCTTGCCCTGAAGTGATAGGTTGAGGATAGGTTGAGCTCGTTGACTTTGGTAAACACATCAGCAAGATATGCCAGGCGCGCCACCCACTTGTCATCCTCAAGCTGCACAGCAAGAGGATGCAGATGCTCCAAGAACACAAAAACTTCATTGCGAAGTTCATAAAGTCTCAGTAGCGTTTTCCCACGAGACAGCCAGCGCACATCTGTGTGAAGCAATAGCTGATCGTGCTCTGTGCCGTTCTCATGACAAAGAGTTTTCAAACAGCCTGTGATTCAATGGCCGAGATTGGGATGAAATGTATCATCTTCACAGCATCATCCATAACAGCACTTAAATCAGGGCTCATCCTCTTGCTAGCTAATGCTTCACGATGAATAATACAATGCATCCATTTAATGTCTGGATTTACCTTTCTTACGTGCCCAAAAAGTCCCTTTACGCGCCCCGTCATCGCAGCTGCTCCATCAGTATAGATGTGGCTGCAGGTTTTCCACTGCAGATCATGTTCTCTGAAGAAGCTGTCGATAACCTGGAACAATTGTTTCCCCAGTTGTCTATCCTGGCAGCGTTTTGCAAAATAACATATGCTCGTTTATGTCCGACGCATCTTTGTAACGCACGAAGGACAGGAGCTGCGCTTCTCCACTCACATCTGTCATTTCATCCAGCTGCAAAGCGAACTGACCGGCTAGTTTTATTTGTTCACCACTTGTCCAATTATATTAACAGACATATCATTGATCCGACGGGATACGGTGTTATTCGACAGGGGAACTTTCTTGAGTGCTTCGGCTGCTTTCTTGTCTATCATCATTTCGGCAACGCAGTCGCTGCAGGGAGAATGAGCTCCTCAACAATAGAGTGAGGTTTTTTTTTATTTAACCACAAGCAGGGACACAGTGTAAGATGCCTCGAGTGCTTTCATTGACACATTCGTGGCTTTCATCATTACTGTCTGGCTCGACTTAAATTCCAACAGCTTTTGTCTGTAAAATTCTTCACTTTTATCGACACTTCCCGAGTGTTTGGTGCTCTGGTGTCTCTGTAAATGCGCTGGCTTCATCGCACTATTAGCCAGGACTTCACCGCAAAAGAAGCACTGAGGCTGCGGTGGGTCCGCAGAAGTAGAAATTAATCCAAATAATATATATCAGGGATGCAAACTCATCAGGTATGAAAAGGTGACAAGGATCCGAGCCCCCATACCCCACGGAATATCGGCTTAAAATGAGGAATAACAGATGATTTTAGCAGTCAGAACAACTAAAGCAGCAGTGTTAATAAGACAGAAATGCCAAAGAGTCACATCTAATATAAATATATATAAAAGCATTTATTTTAATTGTGGTAGCAGTCAGTTTATCATTTTGGCAGCACTGTTGAGCATTTTGAAAATGTATTTTCATGCCTCTGTGCAAGGCGTAGTCTTTCTATCTTTATAGCCACTGGTGTAAAGTAACTAAGTTCATACACTCAAGTACTACTTGGGTACAATTTTGAGATACTTGTACTTTATTTAAGTATTTCAATGTTTCTTTTGCTACTTTATTCTTCTTCTCCTCTACAGTTCAGAGGTGCATGGTGTACTTTTACTCCACTACATGTATTTAATACAATTTGAGTTACTTTACAGATATGGATGAATGATGTGAAATCTAATCAAGTGTTGAATCAGACTTTAGTTCCACCTGGAGTAAATCCACCAGCTACCCTGCAGTATACAAAGTCATTCAAACTAGCTGCACCTTTACCAGCTTTGAGAACACTTTCATGATCAATCATTATAAAACATATCATATATTATTCTGAAATGGACCAATCTGCACAACGACTACTTTTACTGTCTTTCACTATATTTTGATGATAATACTTTTCTACTTTTACTTGAGGAACATTTTGAATGCAGTACTTTTACTGTAACAGAGTATTCCTACACGCTGGTGCTTCTACTTTTACTGTCGCTACTTTATATATTTTGATGATAATACTTTTGTACTTTTATTTGAGGAACATTTTGATTGCAGGATTGTTCCTACATTCTGGTACTTCTACTTTAACTCAAGTACAAGACCTGGGTACTTCTACTTTTACTCAAGTACAAGATATATACTTATACCACCTCCGTTTATAGCCTATGAAAAAAACTATTAGAAAACGAAGGCTAAAGCTAACGTTAGCAGATAGTGACAATGTATGCTAGCTAGCTAGCTCAACGATAATATTGCGACAGAAACACTTTTCAGTGCACATCACGCTCTGCCGCTCTGACAGGGAGCTCTGCTCTGAACACCTGAGCGGCCCGTTCTAACAGCTGTTCACCAGCGGTCCAGTCTGTGCCACAGTGACTCCGGACCACAGTTAATATTGACGAACGCACCCGTAGGTAATGTAGCTGCTGAAGCTAGACCATCATCGCGGAGCAGCAGAGCCTTCTTATACATCCATGAGCAGAGCCGACAGGCAGGAAGACTCGAGCACACAGCTCGCGCTTCATTATAATATATATAAAAAAAAGAACACCATGCGTGTCATGATGGCACATAACAGCTCGCGGCCGCAGATTACTCCGGTTCCCAGACCCCCACCCCCCCCATACTCAAAAAAATATTTTTATTGCAGATCTACATGAATCACACAAACGACCTATTTTGGATTCAAAACGGCAAATTTCGCCGAAAGGTGACAAGTTTGCATCCCTGTTTATGTTTCACTGTACTGCCTTGGTTTCAGTTTGGCCTCTTTCTTACGTTTCTCGGCGGGCTCCTCTGAACCCTGGCCTGAATCCAGAGCAAGCGGATGTTTCAGCCATTTATCCATAGTGCAGACCTACCAGTATTTTTTCTGGCTGCAGGTAAGCAGCTGTTTTCATTGTGGGATTTTGGCGCGGTTGTGCGTGCCACAGACTATTGTCTCCCTAGGGAAACAAATCGCGCACTATCATTTTTGACGGGATTATTATTTTTTTTACTTGTCACCTTGGAATTCCACGTACCCCCTACAGTTCCCTCGCGTACCACTAGGGGTACGCGTACCCCCGGTTGGGAAACACTGCTCTAGGGGTGTCCGGGGGCATGCACCCCGGGAAGATTTTTTTCTTTACATTTAAGTTAAATGCATCAATCTGGTGGACTCTCCCTCTCCTTATTGTTAAAACAGTTTATAATCTCCGTTAGCTCCAAGCTAGCACCAGATGCTAATAACAACCCCCGTAACTGGTGCTTACTCTCGCTCGTGCCACACACACAGACGCTGTGTGCTCCTCCGTGCGTAAAGTGGGAGGGACATGTCCCCCCTGTGCCCAGTGGAAATTACGCCCATGTGTTGAACATATAAGAAGGTCCATGCAGGGACACATGCTATTTTGATTACCATAGTGACCCAGGTATATAATATTGCAACAAAGACAAAAGCTGCTCAAAATCAAATTTGATGAATGTATTCCACAATAACTAAATATGTACATGTTCTAGGCATTGTAATATTCACACATTTCTTTTGTTGAGGCATTTTACTTACTTGAATCTGATAAAACCAGTCCAATAAACAAAGAGATGTTGCTCGTTTGAAGATTCGAAAGTTTTGTGAGAATGTATGGCCAGAGGGCGGGACCCTATAAACACATTTAATACCCAATAACATTGTGAGGCTGAACCAAAAGGACCTTTTGACTATGTAAATGTAGTATTTAACTGACTTTTTTAGGATTACTTAAAGTAATGTTGTAAATAACAACAGGGGGCCTTACAGGGTTAATGTAATAACTATATTAAAAGGTGAGTCACTATCCTGATAGTGTTTAGGCCAGAGAAGGCCTTGCTAGAACTGCCGGCCAAACCACTGTTTCAAAAGATGGACCTTATTGATCCCACAACGGGGTGTTTTCCACACACACGCACATGCATTTTTACAGGTACAGGTACTTACAAACACACACAGCTACATGTGGACACATGCACATGAGTATCAAGAGTGGAGAGGCAGCCAGTCAGGAAGCAGTTGGTGGTTTGGTGCCTGGCTCAAGGGCACTTCAGTACTTTTTTGGTCTGATCAGGACATGAACCAGCGACCCTTCGATCCAAAGTCCATGCCCCTACAGACTGAACCACTGTAGCCCAAAGCCTAGTTTCCATCTGCACATGACAAGCAAATTAAACACTTTATTTTAATTTAATTTTGTTTACAAACCAATACATTCCATGGAATGTTTTAACCTAGAATATTCCTGTAATTTTTTAACACATCTGAATACATTTTCACTCAAAGTCTATTTATTGGCTTTTTCCATATCTTTAACTTTCATGATTGCATTCATTAAGATGGAGTTGCTAGCACTGATACCACTATGTGAACCCTCATTCGTCCTGATTGGTCCCAGCTAAAAGTGAAAATGTTTTTGTTCTTGTGTGTTTTTATGTGTTCAGCTGAGTGAAAACTACACATGGGGTCGAGTCAAAGACCTGGTCAGGAAAACGAAGCTGAGGAACCAGAGCAGGCTGGCCCTGATCCCCAGCAGGCTGAAGATGTCCTGCCCACAGCTCTACATGTGAGGACACACTGCACTACACACAAGGCCGGATTTGTACCTCCAGGGGCCCCTGGGCACTGAAGCTCAGGGCCCCTCAATCCACGTACCAACACGCCTACCCAACATGACCAATATTTTAAATGTCCATGATCAATCTGGCATGTCAAATCGCACACCTATTTGTCAAAAAAATATAATGTATGATGTCCTTTGTTGTTTTATGTTTCATGTGGAACCTATTTGCTGCAGGTCTCCCTTGAAAAAGAGTTCTATGGTCTCAATGGGACCAATCTGGTTAATAAAGGTTTGAAGCTAGATAGTTCAACCAAAGTAGGTCTAGCCTTTTTGCCCTTTCAGTCAAAAATCTCAAGACAAGGATACAATGGATAAGATCTCAAGACAGTGGTATGGCTCAAGAAGACCTAGGTAATATCACTCAAACCTCAGAGCAGCACCCCACTTCAATTGCCCAAAATATGACTGGCTGGCTGGACAAGTACACAAGGAGTTATATTTGTCAAAAACATTGAGAGTTACAAAAGTAAAACTTGTATTGAAAGTATGTGGTTGATCAACTAAGTGACCAGTATATGTGATAGAAGATATTATTGTGTGTGTGTGTGTGTGTGTGTGTGTGTGTATGTGAGAGGGAGTGTGTGTGTGTGTGTGTGTGTGTGTGTGTGTGTGTGTGTGTGAGAGAGAGAGAGTGTGTGTGTGAGAGAGTGAGTGAGTGTGTGTGAGAGAGTGAGTGTATATGAGAGGAGAAGAGAGAATGAAGTGAGTCTGTGTGAGAGAAAGAGTGAGTGTGTGTGGGTGTGTGAGAGGAGCGTGAGTGTGTTGTGTGCATAGTGTGTGTGTGTGTGTGTGTGTGGTGTGTGTGTGTGTGTGTGTGTGTGTGTGTGTGTGTGTGTGTGTGTGGTGTGAGTGAGAGAGAGTGAGGTGTATCTGAGAGGGAAGAGCGCATAGCGTGACGTCTGTGTAGCGCGAGCGCGAGCATGAGGTGTGTGGATTTATATAGCGCCTTTCATTGGGACCCAAGGTCGCTTTACAAGGTTGATGCTTAGCTAAGCTAACTATGAAACACTTTAAACTGACAGGACTCCGGATCAACTGTGTACTTTGAGGTAGCTTCTAGCTTCATGTCCGAACAGTAAGTCAACATTTCCCAGAGAGCTTTCTTTGAAATCACCAGGTAACGCTAAAAAACATTACATTTAGATTGTATGACAAAGTGTTTATTTAATATATCTCTGGCTAGCTATACCTACTTGCTAACGGTTTTGCCTACCCCCGCGATTCAAAGTATGTCAATGTAGCTGTAATTTATGCTTTGCTTAAATGTTCACATAACTTGGAAATTTACTGACATTTACATACCTTGTTCACCTGGCTCAAGTGGTGGCTCTGGGGTTGTTGTGTGAGCCACCACTTGAGAATTGTTGTCTTTTTTAAGAAGAATGTTCTTATGTCCATCTTCAAAAACTTGAGTCGAACTGACAGTTTATTTTAAACTATTGTCACAGCTCACAGGATAGGTACCTGTCAGCCAATAAGACGGATGTTTATTTCCATTCAACTCTCCGGTTGGTCTGGTGTCTTGCCTCTGTTGCATTCACTGAACACGGGAAATTACAAATTCTGCCGTCCTCTCTAGTGTCCATATGCAGATTCAGGTAAAGCAGGTTAATGTATTATATTATTGACTCAATAATATAATAACATGACTTTGAGAGTATGGCAATCTAGGCATATTAACACAATTAATTAAACATACTTATCACGGCGACGGGGTACTGAGATTTCTTTTTTTCATTTTTTTTTTTTGCTAGGGGGCCCCTTAGTGGGGGCGGGGCCCTATGCGGCCGCTTATTGTCGCTTAATGGGCCGGGCCGGCTCTGCCTTGAACTGTATGAGAGTGAGACGAGCACAGGATGAACTCGTATGAATTCCTGTTAAGAGCAGTGTCCCACCAGTGATCACCCAAGCTCACAGCTAGCTTCAGCCTCCCAGGCCAGCCTTGATTTTAGTGGTGTGTGAGCTGTCATCGGTCAGGAGGTTGTTATATATTTTTGAAATAAGTGACTTTTGAAGGGGATCAGAACAAGAAACTCATCCCAATATTTGATTAGGGGGTAGAGAGGGAAAGGATGGAAACAGGGATTTGGTACAGTGTCCTAATTTGGAAATAAGCGAAAAAGGTGAGATGTTGGGAGAGTTCGAATTCACTTGATAGATCAGTAAAACTACGAAAGGTATTTATCCTTATAAAGCTCTCTAAAGGCCTTGACACACCAGGCCGAAATCGGCCGTTTTCGTTAGTCGGGACGACGAAGGCTGTGCCCTGTCGCCCAAACTCAATTTGGTGTGTCCCCGCACCGTCGGCCGGTGACACGCCTTATTTGGCCTTTCATGGCTGACGCATGGCCGATTCAACATGTTGAATCGGCCATGCCGTCGGCCATAGGCAGTCGGCAAAGAAATTACTCTGATCGCTTCCGCCTCTTGAGAGACTGTGCTTGAGAATGTCCCCGCATGCGCAGTTCGCTACGTGCTCGGCTGAAGTCTTTGCGGTGTCTTCCAGTGCGACACATGGCCAAGATGCAGGAGAACAAGGTGACGCAACAGGTCGGCGTCGGCGAGTTCTCTGGTAACTGCTTGGTGTGTCAGGGCCTTACAAGTCCTCAGGCCCTTCTCATGCCATACAGAGAAAGTGGGGTCATGATAAGGCAGGTCGGATAAATGGTTTCCCAATAAAGGAGCTAAAGTGGATGCCGAAGTAAACTTAAAATGCCTCCTAAATTGGTACCAGATTTTAAGAGTAGAACTCACAGACAGGATTCTTTGGTATGTCCAGAGAGGTTGTGGGAATAGAAGAGGGAAGTAGTGCCATTGCGGAGGATGAGCCACAAACATTCTGGGTGCCTTTCCATTCCATAAAAAGCCAGAAATATCCTGATCAAGAGTCTTAAAAAATTGTTTAGTAGGAATAGAGGGAGACATTGGAAAATGAATAGGTACTTAGAAGAATGTTAATGTTAACCGTGTTAATTTTACCTACAGTGTAAGCGACAGAGACAGAGACAGTGTATTCGTTTATTCACAAATAACCCTCTCTGTAAAATCCTAAATTGTAGGATAGTTTGGCCATTAAAACCCTTTTTGATTAGATTTCAAGAGAAGTGTATATTGGTACTTTTAGAATCCACGTCCAGTCGATATGTAGGATCTATAGTTTGATAGATATTACGAAGATGATTTGAGGTATGCGGCAGCCTCCATTAAAGTTAGGGGTGAAAACAGTATTTCCAGTCTCTACGTTTTCATAATAAAAACCAATGATCAAAATGATTTAACAGTGATATCTGCAGTACTCCATCAAACTAAAAAACATCAGTTTATTTTTTTAAAACATCAGTTTAAACATCAGTTTGATTCAGTTAATTATACGACATTAATTGGTTTAAATTGTGTACAATGCTTTGTGTTTTTAACCACAGGTTTTTCTCTTTCGATTCTGAGAGACACCTTTCTTTTTTATGAGGTTTTGATAGGCCTAAAATCATCGCCGCAATGCATGTCGGGATATGGTGTTTATGTGATATGAAATAGGAAAAACATTTTTTAAAATAAAATAATACTTTATTCCGAGTGTTCTTGCTTTTCTCTTTGGAAGTCATCACATAACGGCATTGTAATACACGGTTCGGCTGCATTAAATATTACATATCTGCCGTAGTTATCTATTTATAGAGCCCCTGATCAGAAGACCTTTTGACAAACTGGAAGAAAGCCGCCAAAACTGAAACGTGACGTGGATCATAAATTAATTAGCAATTAACCAACATCTTCCAATTTCTCTTCACACAAATACGTCTCCTTGCAGTATCAACACTAATTCGGCTGACTTTTATATTTAATCCAATTGGTATATAGGTTATATTACACCATACAGTGCACAGCTGATAGAAAGGGATTTTTGTAGTTTTTAAAGATATTATTTATTACCTTTCCAACTCCTCATGCAGTTGACTGTTACAGGTCTATACAGGTTCATGGTACAATGCATAAGCTTCAAATCCAGAGACTGAAACTGTGTTTTCCTTTACCGTTCTGTTTTAATTTCACAATAAAGTTAATAGTCATATTATGTTTGATATTATTATGTTTTATTAACTACACCACTGTTTTTTAACCCGCGCCGCCTAGTGGTTAAAGCACGCTATTGAATGTTGTTGTTGAATACGTTTTATTTGATGAAAACATTTAATATTAAGAGTAGCCTACATACAAAATAGAAAATATGAAGAGATACTGTAGTGATCTCTACAATAAAACAGTTTAGGTGCAGGACGTCCAAAGATATTAACAGGAGGATGCAAAACAGACAAACTAATAAGGCTTTATTTAAACATTAAAGATTACTTTAAGTTAAGGTCTTCTTTTGAATAAGAAAAAACGTTGGGGTTATCCACAGATAAATATGAAGTCTGACAAAGTACTTAACGTCCAATATATTGCATAGTTTATTTTGGCACTTGACAATCACCTTCCCTGAATTTGACTCAGGTGTAACTAAAGTCTGATTTAAGGGTTGTTTATATTTCACATCATTAATCAGAATCTGCAAAGTAACTCAAATAAATGTAGTGGAGTAAAAATACCAGGTTAACCTCTGAATTGTAGTGAGTAGAACAAAGTAGAATGCTGCCTGTAACAAAAACATTTCCCAACTTGGCATCAATAAAGTATATCTTATCTTATCTTATTTTAAGATGATCGATGGCTACTGCCATATTTGCAAAATGTGCCTCTGAACCTTGACAAGTGCATGTTTCAGGCTTATCACACGGGGTCTGGACCCGTCCAATTCCAGTATTGGAAAGTCTGCCGTGGTTCCATTCCATTTCAAAGAGCTGTTGACGCTCAGCGTAACCTTGTCGCACTGCCACTCCAACATCCAATCACAGGGCTTTGATTAATCACGGGGTTTGTAAAGCAAGGTGGAGGTTGTAGTCCCA